CGATCGAGAGGTTGCCGATTGTTCAAGGTTGAACCATCCACGTGGCGTCAGAAACCAAGGCTGGGGTCGTCACAATACGAACCTGCCATAAAATGCATGTCTGCGTTGTCTGGTGAGAAACTGCTTGTCCTTCCTCACCGCTTTTTTGATCGCCTCAGGGCGAGAAAGCAGCCCCTAACTCTGAGGGAAGACGTCGCGATCGAAGAAACCAAGACGTCGGAGGCCTTCGTCTCCAGATGTCTCCCGGGGTCTCCGCCGGCGAACTTCGACCGTCGAACCTCGATCGTCCAACCTCGATCGTCGATCATCGAACGGCAGTCGAACCTCGATCTCCCGGAGGCCCTGAAAGTAGGGCCCTGGGCAGCAGAGGTCAGGGGCTTCCCCCCCCCAGGTGATACCATTGCGCCATGCCGGCGGCGCTTAGTTAGTAGACGGGATTCCCCGGCGGAGGAGGAAAAGGGAGGTCATTAGGAGGAGGAGGAGAAGGAGGAGGAGAAGATGGGGAAGAGGAGGAGGAGGAGGAGGAGGTGGACCATAATCTCCTAATTACGCTGGCCTCGCCTTAATTTGTCGCCGCAAGATCCAAATCCGTTCGACCTGCCTTGATCATTTGCCATTGCCGCAACGCGGCAAGCCTAGTTCTTGAGGTTTGCCTGACGCAAGAGGGTGGACCCAGAGTGGACGGGAGACGCGTGGACGATGCTGCAACATTCGGGCCGAGCGAAAGGGGGGGGATAATGAGGGAAAGGGGGGGGTACGACATCTGCTGCCTGCAGCTGGTTTCGGCCCCGCCGCCGGGCCCATGCCTCGATACTACATGGGCGCCTCCCCGCGCCGGGAGGCGCTGGGAGAACCAGCTACGTGAGCTGATTCTCTACAGTCGGGGCCTTGAGCAAGGAACGCTTTTCGTTGGGGAGGGGCTCCGTGTTCCTTAATTGTTTCGCAGCTTGCCTTACGTTGTCCGTAGGTTTCCGATGGGGAATCGAACTTTAACTTATGGAGAAAAGGGGCCTCGTTCCTCGTTTAGGGTTCCTTAGGTCAACGTCCCGACTGTACCCTACCCTTTGCTATCCCCCCCTTTCGCTCCCCCCGCAACATGACCCTCTCGCCTCGCGCCCCGTCGCCATGGTTCCCCGCCCGCGCTCTCTGCCACTGCGCGAGGCGCCCCCCCCCATTGGGGGAGCGACCGCCTCGTGGGCCCGCACTGCCGGCGGGGGCCCCCGCTCTGGAAGCAGCTGCCCTCCACCCCATTTCAGGAGGGAGCATAAACACACAGACACAGGCAATCGCCGACTCCCATGGAGATTTGCGAGAAGGTATGGGAAGTGGGGGGGGAAGACGAAAGTCCCACAAACGTGGGGAATCCTTCGACCTGTGCGTACTTGTTTGTGTGTCCCAGGGCCCCTTCCACCCCTTGGGAGCCCACAGAGGGCCGCGACAGGGCGGGGCCGGAGCAGCCGGCACGGAGCTGCCCAGCGACGCGACAGGCCCATTTTAGCAAGGAGCCGGCAGCCCCGCGTGCGGCTGCTGCACACGACGGAGAGCTTCTGCTCCCCGCGGCGTCTCCCGCGAGAGAGCTTCCCTCCGAGCCCCACATCATCAGGGGTAACTCGGGCGTCCAGAGCCCCGAATCATCAGGGATACCTCGGGTCAGGGCTAACTCGGGTTCCTTTTCCGGGAATCCAAACCCGAGTTACCCCGGACCCGAGTTACCCCGGATAATTCGGGCGCCCAACTTCCCTCCGAGCCCCACGGCGGAAGCCGCCCGCCTGCGTCCGTGCAGCTGCTGCTCGTGTGCTGCAGGGCGGGCGTGCGTGGGGCGCCGCGGCGCGGCGAGGGGCCCGGCTCGAGAGAGAGCGGTGCGCTCTCCTCGCCCGGACGTCGTGTTGAAAGGCCAGGGCGCGCGGCACCGAGGCGAGAGCCCGGTTTCGAGGCCAGCTTCTACAAATTACCACTGGGAGTATCACCAAACATTGGTTATATTGTGCTTGTGACCAGAAGTTATGGGACAGCTGGGAAGACGCCTTCCTCCACCACATGCAGTAACCGGGCTCCGGCCCACCCGCGCTGCTCCTAGGGGGCCCGCAGGCCGTTCGGCGGACTCAGCGCGTTCTTCTTCTTCTTCTTCTTCTTCTTCTTCTTATTCTTCTTCTTCTTCTTCTTCTTCTTCTTCTTCTTCCCCGCTCCATGCTGCGTGAAACTGTTGGAAGCGTCAAGCCTCATGTCGGGCCTGTCCCTCGACAGGAGGAATACTCAAGAACAGTTAAACAAAAATTGTCTGGGGACTGTTGCTCCACCATGTTTTGACTATTTTGGCGCAGCCTTGGGGTATTTTTAATTTTTCGTCCAAAACCCCCCTGTGGGCGGACGCGCCCGACGTAAGTCAAGCCTCAGGCTCGCAGGCGGCGAGGAAGTCTCCGGTAGAACGCCCAGCCCGCCCTGCCAGCACGCCTGGTGGCGTGACGGAGAGGAGCCGTTGATAAGAGTGAGGGGTGGAGGGCGAGGAAGTCAAGGGGGGGAAAGAGGAGATGGGAGGAGGAGGAGGAGGAGGAGGAGAAGAAGGAGGAGGGAGGAGGAGGGAGGAGGAGGAGGACGTGGAGGAGGAGGAGATGGGAGGAGGAGGAGGAGGAGGAGGAGAAGGAGGAGGAGGAGGATGGACCAGAGTGAACCCAAGATGCATCAGCGATGCTGCAATGCACCCTCCCGTCCCGTGCCCCCCTCCTCGTAAGTCGCTATAAACCCCTGGAGAGGCCAGCACCGACGGGCCTGCAGTTCAGGCGAGAGCCCCGTGTTGGAAAGGGATTGCCCTGTACATCTCTGGCGAGGAACTAAATCAGGAATTCGCAGAGGCATGACCAAACAGTTCCACGAGGTGTCCAGCCAGATTTCCAGTTTGAAAAGCGGATCCCCACCATCTGCGTGATTGTTTTGCAAGGTTCCACGCCTGGCCACAACGTCGAGAATAGCTCTGGCGGTGCCCCCATGTTAAAGATGGAACCCCCGAATCAATGCAGCTGCTGCACGTGTTTAAGTTTCTGGTCCCAAGGTGCAAAGGGATACCCATCGAAAGCCCATGTTTGGAAAGGGTTCGACCTCCCTCGTTGCAACCGCTGCGAACTTGTGAAGGCGAATGCGCGCGGCACTCAGAAGCGCTCCCCATGGTTGAAAGTTGCGTGTTGCAAACTCGTAAGACGACTGTGCCCATCCACAGTTTCTCCAGCAGAGCGCACGCGTCCCTCAGGGTGTGAGATTTGTTTGTCTCACTGTGCCATCACCCCGCCTCTCTCGCAGCATTGCTCGTACGAACAACTACTTGCGGAGGCTGTTGTCGCTGGAGTGTCCGATCACCTCTCCTCCCAAACAACTAGTCCTAAGACGAAGGTGTGCGGCACAAAGGCGAGCTTTTTTGCTACAAAAGGAACCGCCCTCCATCCTTGACACCGTTGCAATAGTTGATGTCGAATGTGCGCGGCGCTACGGCGAGAACGCAATTTGGGAAACACCCTCCCCTCCATCTTTGTAGCAGCTGTTCACGTGTAGGGCGAGTGTGCATGGCGCTAAGGGCGAGAGATCCAGTTTGAGAACGACTCCCGTCGACGACTGTGCGGGCGCTAAGACGAGAATCCCGTTTTGAAAACGATCCGTTTCCATCCGTTGAAGTTGTTGCAACGCGTGCGGCGCTAAGGCGAGATCCCTATTTTGACCTCCCTCCATCCGTGCAGTTTCTGCGCATAATCTCATGCATGACGAATCGGAGCGGCGTTTTGGCGAGAGCCCCATTTGAAAACCCCTCTCATCGACCCTTGCAAAAGTTGCCCACTTGTCAAGGTGGATGTGTACGGTGCCAGTGTGAGAGTTATATATATGTGTAAAAAGCATCGATCGCAATTCCCGTCGGTGCTTCAAGTATGATTGCAAGCATTTCAGACGATTTGTGCGGGTTCTAAGACGAGAGCCTCATGTTAAAAACGGGCCCCCTCATCCGTTGAAACAGTTGCAAGTTTTCAAAGACGATTGTGCGCAGCGCTAATGCGTGGTCCCCATGTTTAGCCCCCCTCCTCCCTTGCAAGTTGTTGCAGACTGTCATAACGAATGAGCGTGTCGCTAAGGCGAGAGCCCGATTATGAAAACCATCCTCTCCCCATGCGTCAGTTTCTGTAAACTTCAAGCCTCAAAAGCTCAAGCGGCGAGGAAGTCTCTGGTAGAACGCCCAGCCCGCCCTATCGACACGCTTGGTATTATTGGTAAGGATCCTGGGTGGAGGACGAAGAAGTCAGGGGGGGAATGTTAGGAGGGCGAGAAAGAGGAGGGTCAGGTGGAGGAGGACGAGGAGGGGGAGGGGGAAAGTGGAGATAGGAAAAGGAGGATGGACCAGAGTAGATCCAGGATGCATCAACGATGCTGAATACACCCTTTCTCACGAGTCTGGGGGTGCGACAGGGAGAAGCTATCTAGCTATCTATCGAAAGGCCTTTGGCCTATCCCGTCACCGTGCCTGGGTTGTGGGTAGGAAGTCTATTGGATGTTCATTGGGATCTCGTGGGAGGCCACTCGGGGGCCTCTTGGAGGCAGGTGTGAGGCCTCTTTGGGGCCGTTTTGGAGCCTCTTGGGCCTCTTTTCATGCCTCTTGGGCTAGGGGGCCTTTTAGGGGGGGGTGCTCCTGGGGGCCTCTTGGAGCGGAAGGCTCGGATTTTCGTGTCGTGTTCCCTCTCTTGGGCCGCTTTTGGCGCCGTCTTGTGTCCCTCCTGGGGCCCTATTGGCCCATCTTTGGGCCCTCTCGGCTCAGAAAAAGTCACGCGAGAAGACGCGAGAAGCCCAGAGAGTGTGGAGGTCGAGGGGTACGGGTCCTGTACAAAACCCTCAGGAGTAAGGAGTGAGGCCCAGAGGAGTGGGCAAAGGATTTGAGGACACGCACAGTCTGCGCCCTGGGCACGGTGGCGGACAAGGAGATGGGATGAAGCAGGAGGAGACGGGCCCCCCCTCCTCACTGCACAGCGGAGGACCCCGGCTTCACCTGGCCTCGCGAGGCGGCGCAGAAGGCCGCGGAGGCAAAACGAGGCCGTCTGTGGTTCCAGCAGGTGGGTGGAGGGAGGAGGGAAGGACTAGGGAAGAGAGGAGGAGGGATGAGGGTGGTGGGAAGGAGAAGGGAGGAGGAGGCACAGAGGAGGAGGAAGGAGGGAGGATGAGGAGGTAGCAGGAGGAGCACGGATGAGGAAGGAGGAGGGAAGAGGAAGGGAGGCCGGAGGAGAGAGGATGGTAGAGGAGGAGGGGGGAGGGACGAGGACGAGAAGGAGGAGGAGGAGGAGGAGGAAGAGGGAAATGCTTGGCGCGCCCATTGCTTTTCCCTCCTCCTTCCTCGCCCTCACTCTCACTCTCGAGCGAGGTAAGAGGACAGAGGAGGAGAGAGGAGCAGGAGGAGGGGGGAACGCTTGGCGCGCCCTCTGTTTCTCCCTCCTCGGGTGTGCTGGGCTGGCTGGCGCGCTCTGCGAGGGCGGCATCTTGTCCTGCGCCTCTTGCTGCCGTGGCCCACCCATGTACACAGGGCGTTCCAAGAAGGGCCGCGCCTTCGCGGAATCGAGAAGTTGACCTCTGCTTCTTTTCTACGTTGCCCATGTTCGAGCCACAAGGCTGCAGAGTCTGTAAGAAGAGAGCCCCGCTCGGTCGAGGTGTCCTATACCGAAGACCAAAAGGGCATAGACGTAATTTCTTTGAGGTCCGCGCGGGCCTCCGAGAACGTGGAATCATGTTGTTGTTGTTGTTGTTGTTGTTGGTGTTGTTGGTGTTGTTGGTGTTGTTGTTGTTTTTTGTGTTGTTGTTGTTGTTGTTGGGGTTGTTGTTGTTGGTGTTGGTGTTGGTGTTGGTGTTGGTGTTGTTGTTGTTGTTGTTATTGTTGTTGTTGGTGTTGGTGTTGTTGTTGTTGCTGTTGTTGTTGGTATTGCTCTTGTTGTTGAAGATTATTTCTTCTTAATAATAATTATTGTTGGGGCCCCTGGTGCACGACCCCCCCGCCGCGCCTAGGCCGCAGCCTCATCTTCATCATTTTCGTGAGGAAGTCTCAGGCAAAACGGGGGAGTCCGGATCCGGTTGTGTTGTTACGATCGGTTTTCCCTTGCAAAAAATAAGCTAAAGTGGACATTTCTTGTTCTAACATAACCAAATTTCAAGAATCCCTTGCAACAAATAAGGTAAAGTGGACATTCGCGCGCGCAAGACGAAATCCTTCCAAAACCTTAGTTTTCGTAGCGATTTTAACATAAAGACATTAAAAAAAAAAAAAAAAAAAAAAAAAAAAAAAAAAAAAAAAAAAAAAAAATGGTTTTTCAAAAAAAAAAAAATGTCAAAATTTCATCCCGCGCGCTCTTGCGGATTCGTAGGAAACCCAACACTTTTTAAACATTTCTGTCAAACGGGCTTTTGCGAGCAACTTTTTCGAACTTCTGCACAACGGTTGCGCACCTGCCAGGGCCATCATCCCTGTCAAATAATACCATGCGGGACACATTCGTTTTTTCTTCGCGCGCGCACGCCGTCGTCGTCGGCCGCGGGGCCCTGAATAGTAGCCACGGTCGTCCGCATGCCACGAAGTGAAGTGTCCGAACGTCATAGGGCGGGAAGCTGGGTGTGGGTGGTGGCGAAGAGTCGTTTGGAAATTTGGTAGAGCTTGAACCGGCCCCCCCACAAAGTGGGGGTATTGCCCGCCTCCTATGAAAACCCTGGCACTGGTGAGAACGGTGTGTCCCCACGTGCTAGTAATTGTTGTTGTTGTTGTTGGTGGTGGTGGTGGTGGTGGTGGTGTTGTTGTTGCTGTTGTTGTTGTTGTTGCGGATCCCTCATCTGCAGTACCAAGCACACCTTTGCAAGCAAACACGTGGGCAACAGCAGCAGCCGCATGGAGAAAGGATGGCGACGAAGGAGAAGGAAGAGCGCAGGACCCCGCAAGGGTATGCACAGGTGCAGCGCAGCCGTGCTGAGGCGGCAGGAGCGAAAGGAGAGGGGACACAACGGGAGCAGACGAGTGTGTCGGCAGAGGGCAGCGCTGCAAGTGAGGAGCGCATTGGACAACGCGTTCCTCTGCCCTCGGCGTTTTTGCGCTTCTGTTACTCCTCCCTCAGGGTTGGCGTGCCTGGCCACGGCTGGACGCAGCCTGAAGAACCGGCTTCACAGTGTGCGTCTGAGAGGAATTTTGGGGAAACAAATGGCAGAAGTGCCAGGCGTTCCACACGGCCTCGCCCTCGAGGGGCTGGGTAGTTGATATCTCGCCAACGTCGGAAGGCCAACGGAGGCAGAACCCGAGCGGCCTGACCAGCGAAAGCCGATTGCAGAGCAGTTTACCGCTCAGAGAGGTCAGCGCTTGTGGGCCCAGGGCTTTGGAGCCAGCCGCACGGCATGCCGGAGGAGGGGGGTCGACAGATGGGAAGAGATAGGTGGGAGGAGCAGGATGTCAGATACGCGGGCGCACTGATTTGTTTCTCGTTTTCCTCACTCATTCCCTCCCTCCTCTCTTCTCTTCCTCTCTCATTCCTCTCGCCTCCCTCCTCCCTCCCTCCCGCACTCCTCTCCTCCCCTATCCTACTGCCGCCACCAGTGACCTGCAGGACCTGGGGAAACCCCAGCTCCGACCCCCCGAGCCCGTGGAGGTCTCTGGAGGCCCCTGGAGCTCCCCACGGGGGCCCCCAGAGGCGTCCATCAGTTTCAGCGCCAGGGGGGTCCAGGTGCATGCGGGGGAGAGGCATCGACCCCCGCCCATCCATCGCCAATCGGGTCCTGGGCCCCCCACCCCGCCCAGGAACGTTCGGTGTCGCTATCGTGGACACATTGCCGATCTATCGGTGTTGTGCCGCCGATTCCATGTCTACGTTTCCCCCTTCGGAGCAGTCCCCCCCCTGTCGCTCCCCCTCATTCCACGGCCTCCCTGAGGCCTCTGGAGCTTCCATCAAAGACATGGAAACCATGACACTGCAGGCCAGGACGCTGGCAGATCAGGCGCGAGAGGGCGAAGAACAGAGCGTTCCGGCCCACAGGTGCGGTTTTCTCTAGTGCGCCAGTGTCCTGGTTTACTTCATCGCTTCGTTCATTCCGCCGGCCCGTATTCTGCTATCGCAAGCGTTTGCCTGCGCGTTCGTGGCCTCTTGGAGCCTGGAGGGGCCATTTGGGGGCCTCTTGGCCTCTTTTTGGGCCTCTTGGGGCCTCCAGGGGGCCTCCTGCGCTCTCTCGGGGGCCTCCTGAGGGCTTCTTGGGGCGGAAGGCTCGACTTGATGGTTCGTGTTCCCCCTCTTGAACCCCTCCAGGGGCCGTCTTGGGGCCCTGTTGGGCGATCTTGGGCGCCTCTGGGGCCGTTTTGGGGCCCTCTTGGACCATCTTGGGGCCCTCTTGGGGGCCTCTCGGGCAGTCTTGGGGCGGTCTTGGGAGCTTCTCGGGCAACCTTGGAGCGCTGGAAGCCCGAAAACACGAGAACTCGAAAAACATTGGAAAGCAAAAGGAAAATCAATGATGCTTGCTTTTATTGGCCCTCTTTGGGGTCGTCTTGGAGCGCTCTTGGGGCTTCGTTGGGGCCTCTTGAGCCGTCTTGGGGCCGTCTTGGGCGTCTTGGAGCGCTCTTGGGCCGTGATCCCGATTCGTGGGCCTTTTCGGAGCTGCCTTGAGATTCCTTGGGCCGCTCCTGGGACGATCTGGAGGGCCCCGAAAACCGTCCCCGGGAGTTCCGGCATCCTTGAGACCAGCCTGCTGGGGATCGCCTGGGGTACTTCTCGTCCGAGGTCGCCCAGGGGCGGCCCCGCGCGCGCGAGCTAGAAATATTCTAAATCTGTTACCAGAGATTTTAGTGCCCGTTGGGCCGGCCAATTAGAGCCCCCATTCACGGGGGCCCGACAACGTGTCCGAACATTTGTATGCTCGATCGTGCCCACTGGCTTGCTTCGGCGGCGCGCAGAGGGGAGAAGGGAGAGGGACCAGGCGGCGCGCAGAGGGGATAAGGGAGAGGTGGCCTTCTGAGGAGCCCTCAACTGTTTCGGAGAAGGCTCAGAAAGCTGTTCGGAAGGCTGTAGGTCTTCTGAGCCTTCTGGAGAAGCCCCGCCCCCTCTGCCTTCCCCCCTGGGCGCGCCGCCGATTGAGGTACTGAGCGTCAAGGTGCGTCCTCTGGCCTGCTCATGCCACGTTGTCCTCGGAGGAGTCCGTGCGCCCTTCTCGGATGCCCCTCGGGTCTCGGTCGCGGTTGCACTAATCTCCCTCCCCTTTCTCCTTGCCAGGAAGCGGATGAAGAAGGGGAGGGAAGGAGGATGAAGCGAAGGGGAGGAGGAGGAGGAGGAGGAGGAGCACCGTAGCCCTGGCTCAAGCCATTTCCCTCTCACTCGGGAGGGGTGAGGGCTCGAGTGGCACACCGCCTTCCTGCAATCCCTCTGCACCACCGACCTGGGCCACAGCAGGGCCGCACAGGGATCACACGAACCTCCCCTTTTTATTCTACACGATGGGAGGACGTGGCAAAGGCGGTCGGAAGGGCGGCCAGGCCCCAGGAGGGGGGCAGGGCAAAGGCAAAGGCAAGTCCGATGCCAAGGCCAAGTCACCGCCGCCACCGCCGCCTCAGGAAGCAGCGCAGGGTTTCTCTTGGATTTGCGGGCATTGCGAGTCCAGCGTCAGCCTTCGTCATCAGTGGTGCTGGCAGTGTGGCGCGCATTGGGAGGCTTCACATACGACGGAGCCTGGTCGCCCAGCAGCGACGGCGCCAGGCACGAAGCCCAAGAAGAGCACCGAGGAGAAGAAGATAGGCCCGAGGATCCTCAAACTTCAGCCGTCTCTGGGCCTCTTGCGAGGAATTGAGTCGAAGGCCGAGGGTCGTGATGAGGCCCGTACTGAACAAGCTACGACGGCACTCGAAGGAGTTCTTGCTCAGCTCCGACTAGATCGCGATTCTGAAAGAACTGAGAGCCAGCTGACGCAGGCCATTTACACGAAGCTTTACAAAGCCCAGCAGCAGTTAGAGCAGCATGTCGCCTACATCGAGAAGCAGCAGCAGAGCCTCGATGACCTTGAGGTGAAGCGCGCGCTGCTGGTCGCCGACATCGAGGCGGCGAAGACCACG